AAAAAAAAAAAAAAAAAAAAAAAAAAAAAAAAGCATTTTGTAGAGCCAAGTGGATTAAATGTAATATCTACAATTAATCCTTACATTCGGAAAGTCTTTGCCAGTCGCCAAATAAAACTAAAAGTGATCTCAATACGACAGAAGTAAAATAGACAAGCATTAGTTCACTTTTTCCCAAAAACCCTTAACAAAGATTTAATTTACTACCAAACACTGAATGCACAAATTGTAAATAACAATTCTATATTTAGCATCAGAATATTGTGTGATTCAGCACCCGAAAGAAGCTCTGTTTGCCTGAGAATTTCAGAAAAGGCTAATTTAAAAACTGTGGACAAAGAAAAATTAAAAATATTTACTTTTGCATTCACTAATCCTATACTGCTTATTTAATTATAGTGCATCATTTGTGTTTTTAGTACTATACCTTATTTCTTTATAAGTGTTCTACTATTTAGCATTAAGCTATGTTAATTAATGTTAATATTGCTGTGTAAATTTTGTGTACTCTTTGACACGAGTACAGGTAATGAGTATGTGGAAATTGTTTATAAAAGAGGGAGCTGCATTGCCCGTTGGTTTCTTGCACGAGTGCGAGAGTTATTTCAGTTCTAGTGATTATGTTCTTGTATGTTTACTCACTGAGGAAAATGATGCAAAAAGAGGTTATGAGAGACGTACTTTTAAAAAATAAAAACTAAGTAATAATGTTTGAGTTAACTTGGAAATACAGTCAAAAGTCGTTAATTCGGACACCCATAATCCGGACCTCAAAGTTACAAACTTTCTGCGCATGTGTCGCAATGGCTGCGAATATGCGTGTCCATGTGCGCAAAATACGTTTACAAATGCGCATTTAATGTATAACGGATGGTATAAGCTAAGCTGAAAATATCTAATTCAGTTAATGTTGCAGATTGCGTTGTTCCTTAATCTTTGAATTGGATTCGGCTTATTATTTTTTGCAGACTGTTAGAGCAATTTTATAAAAGTAAGCTTGAACTTTCGATTATGTCAAATAGAATTTCTGATATATATTTACTAATATGTAAAGGATCTACAAAGTGAAAGTATGTTTCGAAGTCCATTAAACAAAAAGTGGAATTGCTGCAAAAAATGGACAAAGGCATATCCTTTGTTTATCTTAAACACCTCGGCATGCAATGAATCAGAAGTTGATCTGTCAGCACTGTCCTTATCTTCAGGGCAGATGTTTTTATTTTATTTGGCTTATAATTCCTTACTAAATGTAGTATTTTATCTCGATGCACTTTGTCTTTGATATGATTTAAATTAAATTCCTCCTCATTATAATTCGCTTCCGATAGCGAAGAGAGTGAGTGACAGAGGTTATTGAAAACGAAAAAATTTCGATTGACAAATTAGTCGGTATTCTCGACACAGCAATTATAGTACTTGAACAGCAGAACTTTGTAACTGAACAAGAAATTATGTCTGTTTATAGAATTAAAGAGAATGTATTATCACATAAAAAACGAAGCAACTTAAACAACTTACATTGAAAGAAATGTTTAATAAAGTAAACAAATAAATATTAAGCTTTTTTTTTTTGTAAATTTTGATACCCTTTAGATCATAATTGTTCTTTATTTCATAAATTACGGTTTCATACTTTAAAATTTTATAATTTCTGCATGCCATCTTACCAGATTTAAACTGATGATCTATAATCCGGAATCGTCAAAGTCCCGAAGAGTCCGGATTAACGACTTTTGACTGCATATTATTAAATGTATCTCAGTCTTGCCATTGAAGTGCGATATAATTTAATTTTCTGCATCTCAGATGAATTTGTGTTGGAATTACCTGAACCACCGAAGGATTCAAAACCAGGCTAGATGCAGATTAAGTTTTGTATCACCATCATTTGATTTGAACTTCCGGTGCAAGATGCCGTTTTGAATGTGGAGCGAATTCCAGAGAACCCCATACTGTTTTGTCTTAGGACTGCAGATTGAAATGTCCTGCCTGGTCTAATGGTCTTTCCTGACTTCTTCGCCACTCCATGGTTCTGGATCAGGTGGTGTTGAATATGTAACTTGACATACAAGAGGATTAAGCAGCTTGTATTTTGCTTCTAGCCTGGAACAATATCAGCAGCTTTCTAGATAGGTCATCGGCATTTCCATGTGATGATCCTTCCAATGACAGATGGTTATGTCATATTCCTGGAGTTTCTGTTTCCATCTGGCTGCTTCAGGATTCTTCAAATGTAAAAGGCCAAGCCAACACTGCCATAGATATCATGATGGAAAATGTTTCATGGTTTTAACTATGATGAGCAACTCTTTTCTGGTGACACAGTAATTCCTCCTCGCTTTAGACACACACTTGCTCCAGTATGCACGACATATTTCTGACTGTTTATTTTGAGACAAAACAGCACCGACACTCTCATTGCTCGCTTCCGTACTCCATACTCAACAACGAACTAAACAATTACTCAGAAACTGATGCTTTTCCCGGCCACCAAGAAATCTCTAGTACCTTCCCCTTCTTGAAATTACTGGAAGCCACATGAGGGCCAGATATGCTTATATAAGATCAATTAGAGTTATTCAGTTACAATACCCAATACAGTTACACAGGGACTAGACTAATATATCGCCAAGTTTGTCGAAAAAATTACGGTTAGAAAATATTTATGTCTGACCCTAGGATTATTGCCAAGTTGTTGTTTCATTTATGGTAACCTGAGTAGATGAATGTTATGGAAACCCTATTATGACATAATTGGTTACGAGATTGCAGCGAATTTGAATGATGGGAAAAGATTTGTGAGTGTGTGTGTTGGATGTTGGTTAGGAAGTACATTGGTTATTTTGTGGTTTACACGGTAAAATTGCTGAATGTGGTAAGATTAATTTGAATGTCTGTACAATTTGGAATGAAAGGGAAAAAAAGCATTTACTGTAATGAAATGCAATTTAATGCATTAATTTATGAGTGTATAAATGAAGGTTTAATTAGTAACCATTATAGCTGTCCTGTTTGTACAAATGAAATTCGCATGGTCAAACGCCGAAGGATACCAGCACTACGGAAGATATTTTTTACTCTTATTTTGTGAATTTATGTGGCGATGCCAGGATACAGATTCTAGTTCAGATAATTTTAGGAATTTTTGGGATGCTGTTAAGGAATTTTGTGTGGCACAGACTGAACACAAAGGAATTTCTAAATGTGGTACGTTTTCATGTTATTTTATTGTTTGGTTTAAAATGTAGTTTATTGAGATTATGTATTTTTTGTTTGCCTCTACTGTAGAATTGGGTGCACCTTTATCTTTTTAGTGAAAATATATCGATGTGTACATGGACAAAGTTAAGGGAGTGCAATTCCCTGATGTTTTCTTAAGTGAAAATAGGTCGATGTGTACATGGATAAAGTCAAGGGAGTGCGCAACGCCATTTTTGTGCAATTCTGGGATTTTTTTTAAAGTGAAAATAGGTTGATGTGTACATGGATAACGAGTTTGCACAATTCTTCGTCTTGTTATTTTGGCTTTATGTAGGGGTGATTTTTGACGGAAAAATTGCTGCTACACAAGCCAAAATAACAAGTCAAACAATTGCACAAACTCGATATCCATGTACCGCCAAAAATCACGAAGGGGTACCCTAAAATATACTTTCACCAATATTTTACATTTATAATAGTTGGACATGTTTGAAAGATAAGTGACATTTTATTTAAGTTTTACTAACAGTTAGCTTTATGTTGACAAATTTAAGTTACATTTTGTCACACATTTGCTCAATCTAGAGGTTTAGTAAATAGAAGGTAGATCTTATGTCAAGTGGCATAAGTTAAAATGAGAAGCAAAAATTATAAACAGCAAGATTCATAATAAAAGACTGGCTGTTGTCACCCCTGCTGCCTGCCTAGAGAGAGACCTGGGTAAAATCCTAGTATATGGTGCAGCCTTGGTGCAATTTTGAAAATTATTGCCAACACCAAAAATGACCCAAAGAACGTCTATGTATATACTATCACTATATACATAGTATATACTATGTATAACTACATATATTTTTTGAATGACTCGTTACTATTTCATCGTATATGTCCCGTTTTTACTGCCCATCATAAAGTCGTCGAAAGTAGAAAAATCCCATGTGCACTGGATACTAGGATTAAACCGAATAATGTACACACTTTCATAGCCTGCCTCTTTCTCTTCAGTAATTTTAACGGTTGAAAATCGAGGCGATAGAATGACGTAACATGTACCGGTTAGTGTACTGAGAGTTGAAATGGGCATTGTAGCTCATAGAGACTAATTTGAACTGTATTTGCAGTACAAGTCTTAAAGCTTTCTCTTTTCGATGATAACGAAATATTTCCATAATTATACTGTTTCGTTTACATCAATTTTTATCTTAAGGATACATATTATACACAAATAACACGTGTTTCAGGAAAAGCTTTCTGCAACTGAAAACTTCACCTATGTGTCTTGTGACTTAGCTTACTTGTCTGACAGTAACATCAGAACAAGTATACGAAATTTATTATGGCAAGGAGAGCAAGATTGTGCTTATCCTTGGCAAAAGCACAATACAGGTGACAGTACTTTGCTCATTTCCACCCCCAATTTTGAAGAAGAGCACGCTGGGGGGACGGTTTACAGGTTTTCCACACCTCTCTCTTTTTTTCTCAGGTTGTGATTTAATTATAAATCTTGGAAACATTCATTCTGATTTAAAAGAAAATAAAGAATTCAATTATGTTCACTCTTTATTTCATTACCAATAACTTTGAAATGTAAAAATAGTAGAGCATTGCAAATATAAATAAGTTTACTATTATAAGATAACAGCGACCGTAATGCAATGCTATGACACTAATTGCGTGAGACAGAGTTCAGCTAACTTTCAAAACTTGCCAACGGTGCCTACATCAGGCCTTTCAGGTTTGTTTTGATCAACAGATTCCTTTCACATACAAGAAGTTTTCAAATAATCGAGAAATTTCACCTGGTTTACAAGATGACAACGACCACACTGCCATTGGCCCAACCTCGCGAACCTTTCCTTCTTTTTCAGCTTTTAATGGGTCGATGTCTTCTACTACACGATTCGTCGCCATACTTAACGGAAGGTCCGTAAACGGGTTAGCTCGTTTGGGTAAACAATCTTTCTCGCTATCTATTGGCTGTGATGTCACTGAAGTTCTATCTCCACAGATTAACGTCTTTACCTCCGTGGGTCGGTGTACACACCAGACTTTTCATTGATTTCTGTTGAGAGTAAATTTGTTACGCGACTTTGAAAATTCAATTGTTTTTTTTCCTATCCCAAATATTATTAAATTTACATAGCATGATAGTAGGCACACTCTACGCGAAGGCATTATGCACCAATAATGTAGGAAAAATAAAAAATAACCAGCAAAGCGTATCATTTTATAGGTATAGAAATTGACCTATAAAATAGCGATGCTGCACGTTAGTTTGAATTTTCAGGATACTTAAATAAATTGATTCTTTACTTGAATATATGTAGAAACGTCTGTGAATTCTATTATGTGTAAGTAAATACGAACGGTGAAGATACACAAGTGAAACTGAAAACTTAAGTTAAAGAAAGGAATATATAGTAATGTCAAATTACATTCGCATTTTCAATCGATGGATTTCTGTTTCTACTCAGCAAAGATATCTGAATTATTATATATCAGATACAGATGTGTGCCACATTTAATTTTAGGGAAATTTTATTTGAATATTTTAGTTACATTAATTTAACTGGTCAAGTCGCAGTGGCTAATAGGAACATTGAACTGCGGTGCTTAACCACCAGGGTGCCTGGGCGCCATAGCCTTACCCCTCATCGAATAACATGATAAAAGTTTCGAATTATGAGAAATATAACTGAATGTGCTAAATAATTAAATGAGTAAGAGTTTAAATACATAATTGCTAATAGTTAAATACATATTTTTTCTCTTAACTACCTAATTACTAATTCATACATAATTAACTATTTTTTTAACGATTATTTCACAGAAGAATACATGTACACACAAGAGAAACAAAATACGAAGTGCGACGCCTAAGTGCCACTAGTAAAAACAAAATGCAATCAGGAGGAAAAAAGAACAATATACAATAAAGAATCTGAGCAACAATTTGCATAACACATATACAAAATTATATATTACTAACATTTAGGATCGCCCTTGGGCGTTTACTGAAATTGGGGTCCCTAGTATCATAACAATAGTAGTGGCTAATCGCACCGACGGTGCGAATAGCTATTCACACCACCTACGTTCGCGCATGCGCACAATCAGCCCAGGTACCAGCATTTTATGCCGATTTCCATGAAGAAAGAAGGCGGTAGAGAGAGTGAAGGTTGTTAACCCTAACTCAGTAATAGAAAGGGTTGTTAATACTAGTTCACCAGCAAGAGAATAATTTGCAAGTAATAATTATCAGTTACAAAGACGAGATCATTCTATATACATGATAATGTTTAGGAAATGATTAGATAAAAATAGGGATTTAATGATGGTTTTAATTGCAAGCAAGGACGTGTAATTAGTTAAAATATCTTTAATGTATTGACAAAAAGAAAATTTCAGAAATTACTTAAATTCTTTTATTTAATAGAGGAATTTTTATGCAAATTTAGACCCTAGTTTTATAGCATAGGACTGTCAGAATTTATTATTCAATAAGAAAACTTACTGAAAATTATAATATTGTTATATATTCATCACTTTTTCAGTATCCACGCATGTTTATAGGTTCAAATGCCATATTTCAAAATCAAAGTAACTTATGAAATAAAACCTCATAAAATCTGATAAATCATTTGTGTGTGCAAATTTTTAAATCTAAATCTCTTCTGTCTTTTAAATTACATCCCATAATTTATTAATATGTTTGTACTAATATTTCAAAGTTCTTTGAAGTACTCTAGGCCCTCAAGTATTTCTCTTAAAAAAATAAACAGGCATACAAAATTCTTAATAACCAGTATTATATGATTGATTTTTCATTTAATCGCTTTTAATTTATTTCAGGCCTAAATTTTCTACACAGAAATCCTCTGTCTAATTTGTTTTATCTTTTCTCAGACAAAAATTTTCAAAGAGGAATGAATTAAAGTCTTGATTGTGCAAAACACATCTTTGAAGCTAAATGTAATCTAAGAGGTACAAAAAATGTAAACAAGGTTTTGTCCCCCCCCTAAATCAGTGATTTAAACTATTCCAACCGTTCAGGAAAACGATAAACATTGTGAACATAAAAAATCTGCCCTTTTATATACATACTTTAATAAAAGGAAATGTGTTCCTTCTTTTTATATATCTAAGAAAAGGAACCAATTTTCCTTTCTAATCTTTTGAAAGTCGCCAACGTTTAAAAGATGATAAACTACACCAAGGTAGTAACCCGCCTTTTTTAAAAAGGGGCCGATTGTGTTCAAATGACGGATCAGACAACTCAATGCGCATGCGTGGTTAATGTTGGTGCGAATAGCTCGAGCGGCTAATCGCACCGCCGGTGCGTAGCGGAAGTTTTTTTAAGTGGTTGGGACAGAAGAAAAAAAACTTTTTCTTTCTTTCAAAGGAGTTATAAGTATCCTGTTTGTACGAAAGAAATGCGTATGCTCGAACGTAAAGATTGTTCAGATGGCTTTGAATTTGTTTGTCGCAAGAAAGGATCAAATGTTCACCATATAAAGGGTTCCATTAGAAAAAGAATATGGTTTGAAGAAAGTTTTTGAATGCTATTAAAGTATTTGTGTGCCACAGACAGAAGACACGAAAATTTCTAAATAAGGTAAGTGGATATATCCTTTGTGTAGTGCTTAGATTCTATAAGATGGATTTCTTTTCTTATGTTATTTCATTAATTTAAAATGTAGTTTATTGAGATTATATATTTTTTGTTTGACTCTAGTGTAGAAATGTGTGCTCCTTTGACTTTTTAAGTGAAAATAGATAGATGTGTACATAGATAAACGGAGTGCACAATGCAAAGTGCACAATGAAAATTTCCTCTTTTAATAGGCTATTGTTAAATCTTTTAAGAGGCCAAATTTGTTTCTCGATATAGATTAAACGAGGTATTTTTTTTGCCCTTAGGTCTACGAAAGCCACTCCGATTTTTAAACATTAATGGAATTTTAGATTTTGAACAAACAGTTGCCAAAATCTGCAAAGTTTCTTAAGAACCAGAAAATTTAAAACTTTGGTGATGATGGCATTTGAAAGATCCAACATTTTACGAATTCGATGGTTTCCCCCCTCTTATAATGTCTCCAGGAAAGCCAATTCCAATTTTTAAACATTAATAAATTTTTAGATTTTGAAGAAACAGTTTCCAACATGTACAAAGTTTCTTAAGAACCGGAAATTTTAAAACTTCGGAGATGTTGGCAGTTGATATAGTTACAATTCACTGCAGTTGATGGTGGCTTATATTTGATCAAACAGTTGCCACTATGTGCAAATATCGAGGTCGAAAATAAAGCGGTTCAAAAGCTTCGCAGTTTCAAAACATCATCATCGAAAATATCGGGGTAAAAACTCAAATACCTACAAATCATCGCATAACGATAACATCGCACACGTGCTTTTTTTTTTTTTTTTTTTTCAGGTTTAAAAAGTTGTAAATGCATTTTTGCATAATGATTTGGAAGCGCAAGAGGGAAAGAGAGTGAAAATGTTAACGACACTTTAAGAATAAACAGAAATAAAACAAGATACAATCTTCACTAAAACAATAACAGATTAAGAAAGTTGAAAGAAAATAATTTGATAATTAATTGAACAATTTGTATAGAAGTAACCTCATGCAATTACTTATCTTCCTTTTTATAAACATTTTTAGACTATATTTTTCCTGAAAAATTATCAGTAAAACATTATAAAGATTAAGTTATTAACAACCTTTGTTAATTAACTATATAAATTCAAAATTATGTGCTATAAGTTGCATTAATATTCTTTTTATTTTCAATTTTCAAATGCTTAAGTTTCCTTCTTACTTTTTCAGCAAAAAGATATTAGTTCATTCAAAAATATGAAATATAGAAGTAAAAATATCTCTCTTTCCTTCTTGCGCTCCTAAATCATTATGCGAAAATGCACTTACTTTTAAAACTTGAAAAACGCATGTGTGCGATATTATCGTCACGCGATGATTTGTAGGTACTTATATTTTACGTTTTATCACGATATTTTCGAAAGACGATGTTTTTAAACTTCAAAGTTTTTAAATCGCTTTATTTTCGACCACAATATTTTGTAGCACGATGTTTCAGAACTGCAGTGTTTTCTCTTTGCTTTCTTTTCTCCCACGATGTTTTGTACCACGACATTTTCGCTTTGCGTTTCTTTCACCGCGACGTTTTCGTCAGCGATGTTTTGGCCGCAATGTTTTCGGCGGACACCCATAATGTCACATACACTTTCAGTAATCCAGTTTGTACAAAAATACCATAAACATGGAAATGCATAAAGAGAAAACACTCTATCATGAACAACAGGGAAATTTGATTTCCTCATCATTACATCGCAATTTGATTAGATCACATTCAGTTAACGTGATACTAAGTATCACACTGAAGGAAATTACACCGATTAGAAATGCATTCATGCCTAAAATCATTCACAAGATACGAAAAGTTCAGTGATGTATAAATACATAAAGATACATGTTTCTGGTAATCTGCGTTCACGGATGTCTCTCAAGGGAACGGAGGCCTTTGTAAAGGACTTTTTAAGAGAAATCGTCTTGTATCCCAATTACACATCAATAAAACTCTCACGCAGGCAGCCCATTCAATGGGATATGAACCGAGGTTGAACTACCATGTTCAGTAACTTAAATGTTCAGCCACTGGTGTGCATTGATTAAATGCTGCACATGCTTACAAATACGTTATACTATAACACATATTTTTCCTCAGTAAAACTAAAATATCTCGGAGCAAATAATTAAGATAATGAAGTGTAACAAACACCGATTTATTAATGAAGCAACGCACGCATAAGAATAAAAGTGAGAGGTTTTGTAAGCTACATTGCTCGCGCGCAGAGTTCAAGCCCTAACTAAAGTTCATTTAGTCACATGACCTGTGAAAAGGAAAAGAATATTTATATTTTGGTGAATCTCG